GGAGAAGCTCTGGTGTGTATTTCTTATCTGTGGAAGACTGGGTTGCTGCCAAAGTCTTGTTGGTGTGTTAATTTACTGTGAATAAATTGTCTAGCAGTAATCTTGTGTCCCACAAAGCAGGCCACACCTACAGAAGAGGTTCTAAAAACAATTGAAACCCACCACTGACCTACATCCACAATTAAGCCCAAACTTTTTGTTGCTGAGTAAGACAGTTGTTAAGTGCGTTTTGCCCCATTTTACCACCTTGCTTGCCACGGTTGTTAGCGGAATCACTGCAGTTTTTCAGTTAGTAACATGGCTGTTAAATGAATCTGGCTTCCCTATTGACTTTGCTTGTCAGAAGGTCACAAAAGTGGATGAGCCGAGGTGGCGCAGTGGTTAGAGTGCAGTACTGCAGGCGACATCTGCTGATCACCGGCTGCCTGCAATTTGGCAGTTCAAATCTCCCCAGGCTCAAAGCGAGCTCAGCCTTCCGTCCGCTTTTCAAATTCCTGTAAATATTTTAAACTGGAGATCTGTGTGTACTTTTCCCCCCATGCATATTCATTTCTACGGAGCGAAGGAAAGGCTATTGCAATCTCTGCAAATATTTAATTTTTACGGAATGCACGGTAAATAATTTACCCGGACAAGGATACATATTCATTAAGTTGGATAGAAAACCAAGGTATGAGCCATTGGATAAATGTTCAGTCACAGATTTGAACAGGGAGGTGTGAGATGGTCCCATTTGAAAGAAGAATGCAAATGCATCCTTTGTTGCTTCTTTAGCTACTTGAACTTCCTTTCCCAACCTTGCATTCACAATATTGTGCTATATTTCCCCTCCCCTCTCGACTTGTATGGCTGTGTGATTTTTGTGTATTTTAATCATGTGTACTGTGTTTATGTCCCCTTTCCCCCTGAGTTGTTCGCCGCCCTGAGTCCCTCCTGGAGAAGGGCGGCATACAAATAAACCAAATACAAATACAATATAATACAGTTCTTGTTTTATATAAAATATTGTTTTGTTTCCTAGTATGATTTGATTACTTATAGGTAACCTATGTGTTGCATCTTATGATTCTTGATGAATGTATTCTATTTTATTTTTCTTAATGTACACTGAGAACTTATGCACCAAAGACAAATTCCGTGTGTCTAGTCACACTTGGCCAATAAAGAATTCTATTGTTTGGACCTAGGCTTCCCAAGAACATGAATCAAACTCCTGGTCCCAACCAAAAAAAAAAAACCCTTTTATTAATTTACTGTGAATTCTACTCATTCACATACAGCAAAGTCTTTCAAGGGAGGATTTACAGTCACAGACCTTATCTGGCTTGGAGAGCTGCCAGGCCGATATCTGCAGAACTTGGCAAGGAGTCTCGGAGAGGCACGAGCCAATTATCAAACTAATTGCCTCCTGCAAGCTCCACTCCCCTTTTGTTCCTCTTTTATTTCTTCGGGAGTGGGGGGACATTCATCGTCCACCTGTGGCCTTACTCTCAAGTCGAGCCCTGTTCTTTAGCTGGTCCCTTCGTCTGGCAGCTCT